CAATTTGAAGGTCGCAAGAGAAGTTGTGCCACTTTCCTTGAAAAGTAAGGTAAATTTCTAGATCAGTTCTGTGGCCTAGTTTAGACTGTGGTCTTACAAGATGTGCTGTGTAAAGTTACAAAGGCAATGTGTCCCCATGAATTTCCTTGGAGTTTAAAATCCTGAGTTTTAAGTCTCTTGTTTCCAAGCTAGAGTCCAGATATTTCAACAACCTTCGTCAATTAAGAAATGATTTTTCTCAAGTAATAGAAGAGGATATTTCTCTAAGCACAATCCCTGTGTTTAGGGCACACTTAGAAAATGGTGGGTACTCAGTAACTGTTTACTAAGGCACTGAGTGAGCAAATGAAGAAATGAATGAATGAATGAATCACTAAATGAGCTCCACTGAACACATTATTAAGTACGTGGTCCTATGTTACTAGAGCAGTCGCAGGTGTAACTTTGCACAGGATTTTCAGAAGCCCGAGATCAAAAGCTTTAGGCTTTTTGAATAAGAAATCTACAGGAAAAATATATGATTTACATTGTCGCTCAGCACATCTACCCACCTATAACACATACACACATACAGTAGAAACAAAACTTTCATGAAGCCCTAGCTTATTTTTATCTGAAATGTACCTTTAAATTCTGTACTTTTCTATCTTCTATCTATTAGTTTCAGGTGCACAACATAGTGATTTGATATTTGTATATACAGTAAAATGATCATCAGAATAAGTCTTGATAACATCTGTCACCATACATAGATACAATTTCTTTTCAAATATGCAGTATTTATACTATAAATATAGTATTATTGACTATAATATACATGTATTGACCATGATCTACATTATATTCTCATGATTTATTTTGTAACCTAAAGTTTGTATCGTTTGACTCTTTCACCCATTTCACCCACCCTCCACTCCCCAACCTCTGACAGCCATCAGGATGAACCAGCCTATATTCATCTTGTGATTTAAACATATTTCACTAAGTAAGACTGACTCTTGAACAACATGAGATTTAGGGGCAGTGACCCTCAGCACAGTCGAAAATCTGCATTTAACATTGCAATTGACTCTCCATTTCTTGGAGATCCATTGCTTGGATGATAATCTCTTCACATTGTTCACCTCCAGAAAGACAGTGACATATCATTGTTTTTCTCAGGTGATAATCTAATAGGAGAGCTGAGAAGATCAAATGAAATACTATCTATTCTTCTCAGACTACTTGGCATGTGGTAAATGCTCAGTGAATAGGAGTGATGTCCTGCTTAGGAATGACAGTGATAAAAGTATAAATAGGGACTCCCCTGGCAGTCCAGGGGTTCGGATTTTGTCTTCCAATGCAGGGGGTATGGGTTTGATCCCTGGTCAGGAAGCTAAGATCCCACACTCCTTGTGGCCAAAATACCTATGTGTAAAACAGAACCAATATTGTAACAAATTCAATAAACATTTCAAAACTGGTCTGTGACAAAAAAAGTTCTTAGAAAAAGTAATCTTCAGAGTAAGCACAACTTTCAACCCATATAAAAATAAGCAATAGATGTTAGCAGTATGCATGTGCTCAGTCACGTCCGACTGTGTGATCCCTTGGACGGTAGCCCATCAGGCTACTCTGTCCATGGGCTTCTCCAGGCAAAAATGCTGGAGTGGGTTGCCATTTCCTCCTCCAAGTTATCTTTCCTTCCCAGGGATCGAACCTGCATCTCTGCACTGCAGGCAGGTTCTTTACCTGTTGAGCTATCAGGGGAGCCCAAGCAATAGATATTTTGTACATAATTAAGTGGTTGTTTGGAATAGCCAAGTGGGGTCAGGAACTAATGAATACAGTGCACGCCTTTACAAATGGCAAGATGCAGGTGAGAAGCTGCCAGTCTCAGGGTTATTGGGAACCTTATATTAATAGATATAATGGTCATCTGGGTTAAATTCACCCATTTCATTCCATTTTACTTCACTGATTCCTAAAATGTTGATGTTCACTCTTGCCATCACTTGTTTGACCACTTCCAATTTGCCTTGATTCATGGACCTAACATTCCAGGATCCTATGCAATATTGTTAGAACTGGACATGGAAAAGCAGACTGGTTCTGAAAGGTTGTTGCTAAACGATTAGACGTGGGATTCTTGGCCTCCGGAGGAGACGAATTCAATCCGGGGCCAGAGACGAGGCTGGATCGCTCAGAGCTTTTGTGTAATAAAGTTTTATTAAAGTATAAAGGAGATAGAGAAAGCTTCTGACATAGGCATCAGAAGGGGGCAAAAGAGTACCCCCCTCCTAGTCTTTAGCTGTCTGTTATATAGTCACTCACAGTCTGTTAATGAAAAGAAAAGAATGTCATAACATTTAGAATGGCACCAGATAATTCATCCCTGGCCATAAAACGATTGACTTGAATCTTGTAGAAAGGCAGAATACCAACAAATAGTTTCATTTACAAAGATTAGGGGAACAATACCTGAGTAAGTAAATTAGGCCATTTGGCGGAACCAACTTGAAGATAGAGTCTGGGGTTCATTTTATTTATTTATTTATTTATTTATTTATTTATTTATTTATTTATTATCACAACCATAGTGTATCTTTTTTTTTTTTTTTTACATGTATTCCCCATCCCGGTCCCCCCTTCCACCTCCCTCTCCACCCAATCCCTCTGGGTCTTCCCAGTGCACCAGGCCCGAGCACTTGTCTCATGCACCCAACCTGGGCTGGTGAACTGTTTCACCCTAGATAATATACGTGTTTCAATGCTGTTCTCTTGAAACATCCCACCCTCGCCTTCTCCCAGAGTCCACAAGTCTGTTCTATACATAGGAGTCTCTTTTTCTGTTTTGCACATAGGGTTATCGTTACCATCTTTCTAAATTCCATATATATGTGTTAGTATACTGTAATGGTCTTTATCTTTCTGGCTTACTTCGCTCTGTATAATGGGCTCCAGTTTCATCCATCTCATTAGAACTGATTCAAATGAATTCTTTTTAATGGCTGAGTAATATTCCATGGTGTATATGTACCACAGCTTCCTCATCATTCGTCTGTTGATGGGCATCTAGGTTGCTTCCATGTCCTGGCTATTATAAACAGTGCTGCGATGAACATTGGGGTACACGTGTCTCTTTCAGATCTGGTTTCCTTGGTGTGTATGCCCAGAAGTGGGATTGCTGGGTCATATGGCAGTTCTATTTCCAGCTTTTTAAGAAATCTCCACACTGTTTTCCATAGTGGCTGTACTAGTTTGCATTCCCACCAACAGTGTAAGAGGGTTCCCTTTTCTCCACACCCTCTCCAGCATTTATTGCTTGTAGACTTTTGGATAGCAGCCATCCTGACTGGTGTGTAATGGTACCTCATTGTGGTTTTGATTTGCATTTCTCTGATAATGAGTGATGTTGAGCATCTTTGCATGTGTTTGTTAGCCATCTGTATGTCTTCCTTGGAGAAATGTCTGTTCAGTTCTTTGGCCCATTTTTTGATTGGGTCATTTATTTTTCTGGAGTTGAGCTGGAGGAGTTGCTTGTATATTTTTGAGATTAATCCTTTGTCTGTTGCTTCGTTTGCTATTATTTTCTCCCAATCTGAGGGCTGTCTTTTCACCTTGCTTATAGTTTCCTTTGTTGTGCAAAAGCTTTTAAGTTTCATTAGGTCCCATTTGTTTATCTGGGGTTCATTAACATATCTTAAGACAACATTTCCATACGAAAAAGAAACGTATTTGTTAACTCAAGGTTTGAGAGTAGTTAGCTTCAGGTGAGACCAGGTGTCATGGCAACACAGCACTTTAAGAGAAACCTCTTTTAAATTTGTATAGAGAAGGAAAGACATATCGCTGGTTTGTTTCTTCCTGCCGCTTAAGAGAGATAAAAATGTCTGGCACCTGCAGCCTCTTTTTTTCCATTTGGAGACCCCTGGCCTTCCTGCCTGTTACCCTCTCAGTTCCAAACTGGGAAAGGAGTACGTCAAGGCTGTATATTCTCACCCTGCTTATTTAACTTATATGCAGAGTACATCATGTTAAATGCCAGGCTGGATGAAGCACAAGCTGGAATGAAGATTGCCGGAGAAATATCAATAACCTCAGAAGTGCAGACGACACCACCCTTATGGCAGAAAGCGAAGAACTAAAGAGCCTCTTGATGAAAGTGAAAGAGGAGAGTGAAAAAGTTGGCTTAAAACTCAACATTCAGAAAACTAAGATCATGGCATCCTGTCCTATCACTTCATGGCAAATAGATGGGGGGACAGTGGAAACAATGACAGACTTTATTTTTCTGGGCCCCAAAATCACTGCAGAAGGTGACTGCAGCCGTGAAATTAAAAGATGCTTGCTCCTTGGAAAAAAGGCTATGACCAAACTATATAAAACATTAAAAAGCAGAGACATTACTTTGCCAACAAAGGTCCATCTAGTCAAGGCTATGGTTTTTCCAGTAGTCATATATGGATGTGAGAGTTGGACTATAAAGAAAGTTGAAGAATTGATGCTTTTGAACTGTGGTGTTGGAGAAGACTCTTGAGATTCCCCTGGGCTGCCAGGAGATCCAGCCAGTCAATCCTAAAGGAAATCAGTCCTGAATATTCATTGGAAGGACTGATGCTGAAGCTGAAGCTCCAATACTTTGGCCACCTGATACAAAGAACTGACTCATTGGAAAAGATCCTGATGCTGAGAAAGACTGAAGGCAGGAGGAAAAGGGGACGACAGAGGATGCGATGGTTGGATGGCATCACTAACTCGATGGACATGAGTTTGAGTAAACTCCGGGAGTTGGTGATGGTCAGGGAGGCCTGACATGCTGAAGTCCATGGGGTCGCAAAGAGTCGGACATGACTGAGTGACTGAACTAAACTGAACTGAACTATACTGGTAGTGGTATCAAGGCTGCTCATGTCATTCAGGTGGCAGAATGTGCAGCTAGTCATTTTCTGTGCATCAATAATTCATCTGTTTTGCTTCCCTTGTTCTGACAGGTGAAACATCATTTCAAAATGTCCTTCATGGAGAATAGCACTGAGGTGAATGAGTTTAGACTCTTGGGACTGACGGATGCCCCAGAATTGCAAGTCCCCCTGTTTATAATATTCACGTTCATATATCTCATCACTCTCACTGGAAATCTTGGGATGGTCACACTGATTCTGTTGGACTCTTGTCTCCACACCCCCATGTATTTTCTCCTCAGCAACCTCTCTCTGGTGGATTGTGTTTACTCCTCAGCTGTGACTCCCAAGGTGACAGCTGGGCTTCTCACAGGAGATAAGGTAATCTCCTACGGGGGATGTGTTGCTCAGATGTTCTTCTTTGTGGCCTTTGCCAGTGTAGACTGTTTTCTCCTAGCTGTTATGGCCTATGATCGGCATGCCGCCGTGTGTAAGCCTCTACATTACGCCAGCACTGTGACCCCCAGGGTGTGTGCTCAGATGGTCATGGCCTGCTATGTCTGGGGCTTTGCTGAGTCTGCCATCCACACTGGATTCACCTTCCGCCTCTCCTTCTGCCATTCCAATGTGGTCCATCACTTCTTCTGTGATATTCCTCCAATCCTGGCGCTTTCCTGCTCTGATGTCTGTGTAAATGAGATGGTGCTCTTTATTCTAGCAGCTTTCAATGTCTTTTTTGCCCTGATGGTACCTGTGAGTTCCTATCTGTTCATACTCATGGCCGTCCTGAGAACGCACTCAGCAGAGGGACGGAAGAAGGCCTTTTCCACCTCTTCTTCTCACCTCACGGCTGTCACCATCTTCTGTGGAACTGTGACCTTCATGTACTTACAGCCAAGGTCTAGCCATTCTATGGACACTGACCAGATGGCATCTGTGTTCTATACAATAATTGTCCCCATGCTGAACCCTCTCGTTTATAGTCTAAGGAATAAAGAGGTTAGCAATGCTTTCAGGAGAGCCATTGAGAAGATGAAGCTTCTGCTCAGTACATAGATTGAATTAAAGAGATTACACAATACGTATTGCTAATCAGTTATCTATTATTTTGTAATTAGAGCCCAAGAAACTTAGTTGATTAAAGTAGTAGTGAAAAGTGAAAGTGTTCATTGTTCAGACGTGTCCGACTCTTTGTGACCGCAAGGACTGTATCCTGCCAGGCTCCTCTGTCCATGGGATTCTCCAGGCAAGAATACTGGAGTGGGTTGCCATTTCCTTCTCCAGGGGATCATCCTGACCCAGAGATTGAATCCAAGTCTCCGGCATTGCAGGCAGATTCTTTACCATTTAAGCCACCAGGGAAGCTTAAAAAAAACTATTTATTATTTCTCTTAGTTCTGCGGTTGGCAGGGCACTTATTTTGCTGCTTTCACATGGACTCATGAGGTCGCCTATTTTATACATGGTCAGCTGGGCTGAAAGCTTAAAGATGGCCTTACATGCCTGGATTTTGATTCTGGCTATTCTCTATCTCTTCTACACATGGTCTTTGATCCTCCAGAGGCTGGAAAAGCTTTCTCTCATAATATCTTCAGGCTAACATTCTCACAGTGTGAAAGCAAAACAAAAAGCTTCTTAAAGTCCAGACTCCCAACTCGAAACATTTTTTTTCGACCATGTTACACTAATCAATGAATGTCAAAAGGATGGTCGAGATCCAAACATGAAGAAAAAGACTCTTTCTCTTGAGGAAAAGAACTGCAAAGAATTTCTGCCCATAATTTATTTATCATAATTAGGTTAAACTTCTGTTACAAAGAGAGACAAAATATAGTGGATTTTAAAAATAGAGCTATTTATTTCTCAAATAGTGGTAGCTAATGCAGCATGGTGAAAATGAATTACCTAGACAACTTGTGTGTCTCGGTCATCCTGGGACCAAATTCATTTCATATTGTCTCTTTCTACCATTGCCTACAGTCTTGCAAGTCTGTCTTCATTATAACTATTATATCTAGAGGAGGGGAGAAATAGGTAAGTTAGAGGAAAAATCATTTCTTTTCAAGAAAGTGATGTAGATGCCGTACACATAATTTCTGAATACATTCCATTGGCAAGAATTGACCATAAGCTGTAGCAGCATGAATGTATTTGGGTAGTTTTGGCCCAGCGGTCGGTATTGCATTGAATTTGTAGGCTCCTTGAGGTAATATGGCTGTTTAAACAATATTAAGTCTTCCGATCAATGAATATAGACTATTTTTCCTTTTTTGTATCAGCTTTAGTTTCTTTTAACAATGCTTCGTAATTTTCAGTGTACATACAAGTCTTTCAATTCTTTGATTAAATTTATCCTTAAGCATTTTATTCCTTTTGATGCTATTGTAAATCAGCTGAGCCTCAAACACTGTTCAGTATTAGAGCTCTGCACAGTTATAAAATCACATATAACTTTAAAATTGGCCCTCCATATCTGCAATTCTACATCTTCAGATTCAACCAACCATAGATTGTGTACAACTTTTCTACATATGTAGTGAGCAATAATCCACATATGAGTGGACCCATGCAGTTCAAACCCATGTTGTTCAAGGCTCAACTGTACAGCTATTTGTTAATTTCCTTTTCTAATTGTTCATTGTTGGTGGGTTGGGAAAAGGAATAGCTGTTTTCTGCGAAAGAGACACATAAGGAAATATTTAGAGTGATAGAACTAGTCTACATGTTCCTGGGATGATAGATACTTGACTCTATTAATTTGTCAAAACAATGAGACTACCTTCCTGATGGTTCAGATGGTAAAAGAAAATACCTGCAGGGCAGGAGACCCGGTTTCAATCCCTGGGTCGGGAAGATCCCCTGGAAAAGAGAACGGCAACCCACTCCAGTATTCTTGCCTGGGGAATCCAATGGACAGAGGGGCCTGGTGGGCCACAGTCCATGGCGTTGCAAAGAATTGGACATGACTGAACAACTAACACTTTCACTTTTTCTTTCATGGAGCTATCTATATAGATATGTGTCTATATCTATATATAATATTTATTCCAGGTTTCTTGGCTTTGAAGACCTGAAATAAGTGACGCCCAGTAGCAATAACTATACCCAACACACCACTCAATATTAAATATCATTATCTAATAAAAGGAAGAAGAAAAGCAGAGAAGAAGGGGACAACAGAGGATGAGATGGCTGGAAGGCATCACTGACTTGACGGACATGAGTTTGAGTAAACTCTGGGAGCTGGTGATGGATAGGAAGGCCTGGCATGTTGCAGTCCATGGGGTCGCAAAGAGTCAGATGTGACTGAGCGATTGAACTGAACTGAACTGAGTTAAAGGAAGTGTGATTCTTTGGAGAACTAGCTGATTACAGGATTGGGACAAGGATAATACAGAATGAGCCTGGAATAACTTATAGTTCCAGAAAATAAGGAGGAACCCAAAAGACAAGGGTTGGGGCATATTAGAAGGAAACAGGAGTAAAACTAAAAGTGCTCCCAATGGCCAAAGATGGAACAATTTGAACAATGCAATAAATATCATGGTACCAAAGTATAACCAAAGTAAAAGGCAAATATACCTGACTCCATGCTGATATAAGTAACAAACAAACAAATAAATAATCCTTCCTTATAGAAAAATTCTAAACAATAAATTTAGACTTCCATTAGAAGATAGAGCATATTCCCTTCTACCTTAAATATGCGTTGAACTTAATGATTTGTTTCTGGACTATAGAGTATGCAAGGAGAAAAGTTAGCTCTACACTGAATAACCTGGCAAAAGTATCTTGAGTAGGTGATCAAGGTTAACATCCCCCAGTGATAAGTCTTGTTGGTAAAATGTATTATCTGATAGGATGAGATACAAATGTCACTTATCCTTTCTCAAAACTTATGCATTCTGTTTAACTGTAACCAAAAAAATCAGCAGACATATATCGAAAGGCTTTCAACAAAACACTTGTCCAATACTGCTTAAGGATATTAAGTGAAAGAAAAATAAGGAGAGGCTGAGAAACTGTCACAAATCAGAGAAGAACAAAGAGATATAACAAATCTATGCAATGTTGTGTCCTGGATTAGATTTGTGAGAGCAAAACGACATAATAGAAAATATCAATAATAATTTGAATACATTATTGAATTTTAGATAATAGTAGCATGTTAATTGGAGAAGGAAATGGCAACCCACCCCAGTGTTCTTGCCTGGAGAATCCCAGAGATGGGGGAGCCTGGTGGGCTGCCGTCTGTGGGGTCGCACAGAGTCCGACACGACTGAGGTGACTTAGCAGCAGCATGTGAATATTGGTTTCTTAGTTTTGACAAATATGATAACATAAGATGTTAAAAATAGGGGAAACTGGGTGAGAATTATGCAAGTCTTGTCTGTTTAGAACCGTTCGAGTTAAATGAATAATTATTTATGAAGAAATTTTGCAAATTGTATCAGGTAGGAAACTTTTCACAGTCTCATAGTTTGCCTTTTTGATTTACTAAATAAAATTCATTTAACGTGTTATTTTCCCCTTAATGAAAAATTAAGGTGGTTTGATATGAATCATTTAATACTGTTGGTTTCCAAAAAATTAATTTGTCCAAAAGCACAAATACTGAGTGAGAATATAGAAAAACAAGCTGTATCTGTGCTCTGATGTGCTCTTGAATGCTCTAAAATTATTTCCTGAAGAATTCTCTAATAGTGAACTATAATTGTCAGTGATTCAGATATATTGACTTCTGGACACCAAACTGAATTCTTTAAACAAATGTTTATTGAACTATTAGCATGAATCAGATCATTATTCACATATTGTGCATGAAGTTGTTCATAAAGAAGACAAAGTCACTCCTCTTGTGTAGTGTATGTTTTTGGGAGAAAGGTAAATGAATGACTAAAGAAGGAAATAAGGTTGTTTCCTGGTGGTGCAGTGGCTAAAACTCCATGTTCGCATTGCAGGGGGCCTGGGTCCGAACTCTGATCCGGGAACTATTAATAGATCCTACATGCCACAGTGAAGATCTCACATGCCACAACTAAGACCTGGCACAGTCAAATAATTAATTTTTAAAAGCCTTAAGATAAGAAATAAATAGGATTTGGATAGTGAGCAGAGCAAAGAAAAATAAAGCAAGGGAAGTAAGAAGGGACAGTGTTCGCTGGGCCTGGGGTAACTAGGATATGGTAACACTGAAGCAAACCTGGAGGATGTGCGGGAGCCTTTGGTCATTAGAAACAGCGAATACAGAGACCCTGGGGATGAAGCACGCTGAGGTTGTCCAGGAACAGCGACGAACTCGGTGTGAAAGAAGTGGAGTGAGTGCCTCGAAGGGGTAAGACCCCACGTGG